AGGACCAAACCAAACTATATTTGTTAGCGGTGGGCTTGGATGTTACAAATGGTATCGGAGCTAGACACAGGGCGATGTGCCAGCGAGGACGTTGGACCCCAAGGGAGGTGGATTGTGAGATCCCATATCGGTTGGAGAAGGGAATGAAACATTCCTTATAAGGGTGTGGAAACCTATTCCTAGTAGACGCGTTTTAAGACTATGAGGCTGATGGAGATACATACGGGACCAAAGGGGACAATATCTACTAGCGGTGAGCTTGGGCTGTTACAAAAATGGTGCAGTTATTCTTTTGACCTTTTAATTTAAAACCGTTGTTTTGTTTGACATAAACGGGTTTCGTCTTATATAGCTTTCATATTCTTTCGATTATTCAAATAAATCTTCTGTACTTTTCGATCTCTATAAAATTTCTGTTAATTGCTTGGCTGTAGCATTAGTTTGAGTGGCTACAAGAGGTGCAGTGGTAGAGCAGATTTTATCTCACTCATGAATGAAAATGTTTGCCAATGCTAATTAGATTGCATGATTGGTTCTAGTGGTTCCATCTATTATACTACTTTATCAGGTTTGAAATTCAAGCTTCTCTGTTCCATTGATAGCTCTAAGCTCTTCTATTCTGTAACTTTTTCTTGTTTGTGAAATAACCGAGTGGCATGATTGAAGCCTCGACTCTTATTTTTATGTTTCACTTAACAATGAAACTCGAGAAAGTCAAATTTCATATTATAGGATACATATATAGTGTTGATTATCCGAGAGGCATTGAAATTGGAAGTTTTCTTTATCGTTCGTTCCGTTTATCGGTTTTTCATATGGTTGGTCAATTCATGGACAGATTGGAGTGTACAAGCAACTGTTAGCTGGATCCTTTCTGAATACTTCGGAAGCAAAAACGTATCCATTGTCGCTGAGGAGGACGTACAAACTCTTTCTAAGCCGGATTCGAGAACTCTGTTGTCAGCTGTGGTAAAAACCGTAAATGAATGCTTAGCTGAAGCACAAAGATATGGCCTTCAATGTCCACCCAGTGAACTTGGAACTTCTGAAATTCTCGAGGCTATAAGCCGGTGCAATTCAACTGGTGGCCCGACAGGAAGACACTGGGTGCTTGACCCGGTTGATGGAACGTTGGGTTTTGTTCGTGGGGATCAATATGCCGTTGCTTTGGCCTTGATTGAAAATGGTGAAGTAGTTCTTGGAGTTCTTGGATGTCCTAATTATCCATTGAAGAAGGAATGTTTTGATTATCATTATAAGGCAGCGACACCGAAATCATCGCAACCATGTTCCGATACCTTTGAAAAAGGTTGTGTAATATATGCAAGGAGAAGTTATGGTGGGGCGTGGATGCGGCCATTAGTCCACGGCGATGAGAAGCTCGAGTGGCCAAATTCGGCTAGCCTTGTTCGAGTTTCTTCCATTGATGACCCAGCACTTGCAACTTTCTGTGAACCTGTGGAGAAGCGGAACTCGAACCACTCGTTTACCGCAGGGCTGGCTCACAGTGTCGGGCTTAGGTACAGAACAACAAGAACTTTGCCAAACTTTAGATTAAGTTAATGAATTCTTTTTTATCCATGATCACTTTTTGATATCTTTAAGCTGTTTATATATATTAAACTTGGGGCTTTTAGCACAACATGTGGAGAGGTTTGCTTCAAAATGGATTCTTATGCTTGTCACTATGATCACTACTAGAATAAGAAGGCCCTGGTGGCTATAGTTACAACTCTTCATAGTTACACTTATGTGGCAGGAAGCAGCCGTTACGAGTCTATAGCATGGTAAAGTATGCTGCCATAGCTCGAGGCGATGCCGAGATTTTCATGAAGTTTGCAAGGACGGGATACCGAGAGAAGATATGGGATCATGCTGCTGGTGTTATCATTGTAGAAGCAGCGGGAGGTGTGGTAACGGACGCGGGAGGTCGTCCCTTGGATTTCTCAAGGGGAATATACTTAGAAGGTCTTGATCGGGGAATAATTGTTTGTTCGGGGCCAATCTTACATGAGAAAATCATTGGAGCAGTCTATGCCAGTTGGGATTCTTCCAGTCTATAAAAGCTTTCCCGACAAATGATCGATCGAGTCGACTGACTAGCCACCATTAGGTACTTATTTTTACCCAAACTGATTCATCTGATTAAATTCTTGTCTGATAGAGCCATTTGAATAAAGTTTGTTTATATCTTCTGATTGGCTGGCTGCAATGTGATGAATGTTCTTGGCATTTGTTCTTTACTACATGACTTTCCAGTAGAACAGATACTGAATTTGATATAATACAGAAAAAAACAAAGCAGAAAGATTCTCATCCAAAACTTGTCCTGTTTTTTCAGCTGGAAAACCAAACTAACACATGTTTCTTCATTTAAAAACACCCAGACCAAGTAACCAACTAATCATACAATATAAAACAACATTATTCCGTATGTCTTCTTCTTCTTGTCCTTCTCTGATCCATCTTTATACAAACCCACATGAATCCTATATGGTTTGTGTAACCGCCTAAGCCTATTGCTAGGATATTGTCTGCTTTAGCTCATTACGTATCTCCGTCAGCTTCACGGTTTTAAAACGTGTTTGTTAGGGAGAGGTCTCCACACCCTTATAAATAAAGTTTTGTTCTTCTCTTCAACTGATGTGAGATCTCACAATATACTCTTTGTAACAGTTTGAGCCCACCGCTAGTAGATATTGTTTGGTTTGGCCTGTTACGTATTGTCGTCAGTCTCACGGTTTTAAAATGTGTCTACTAGGGAGAGGTTTCCACACTTTTCTTAGGAATGCTTCTGTAACGACTCAGATCCACCGCTAGTAGATATTGTCCTTTTTGGGCTTTTCCTTTCAGGTTTCCCCTCAAGGTTTTAAAATACGTATGCTAGGGGAAGGTTTCCACATCCTTATAAATGGTGTTTTGTTCTCCTCCCCAACCAATGTGAGACATCACAGTTTCGTTCCCTTCTCCAACTGATATGAGATCTCCTAATATACTATTTGCAATAGTCCGAGCCTACTGCTAATAGATATTATCCGCTTTGACCCGTTACATATCGCCGTCAGTCTCACGATTTTAAGACTTGTTTTAAAACCGTGAGGCTGACGGCGGTACGTAACGGGCCAAAATGGACAATACCTGCTAGCGGTGGGTTTGAGCGATTACCATTTGAAAACTTCGACCGTCAACACAATAATAATTATAAAAAATGATACGAGGGGAAGTTTGAAAAGTAGGATTAATTAAACAAGTATGGCCTTGGGTGTGTATAATCCTTTATGGGTTAGGTAGATATGCTTGTTGAAGGCAAAACTTTAATGCCTTTGTTGACTTTGTGAGTATAAAACACAGAGTTAGCCAAATTTAATCAAATCAGCCATTAATTATACACTGCATCTTAGTTTATAGTATTGAAATGTTGCATTATGGCCTGCTCGCCCATTTCTGTGTTTATATATATATATATACACATTATTGAATAGCACGGCCTAGGGCTAAGATAGCTCGAGAGAGCTGTGTCATGGGTGACCTTATTGCGTGGTTCAAAGAGCACTTGTGTATGTGATGCACGTGAAGGTGTACAAAAAAAATTGTTTTGAAGTTTTGTTGTTCGCTCTATCTATTTCCGTCAAATGACCCAACCTCCCCCGACTCTTCCACTGTCTACAGAATTCCACTCGCCCTAGTCCTTGGTAGCGTTGACAAAGGAGAACAACCCCCCTGTTGTTGATAGATAGAGAGCTTACCGCCTCGCCCGCCCTTTATAGTTGCGACTGTCCAAATGCGAAAAAAAACTCTTTGAATTAGACTCCACCTAGTTAGATTCAGGCTCTTTGGCTCATTCTTCGATTGCTGGAGTCTTGACTTGAAACACTTTCTTTTGAATGAGAAAAATCAAGGTAAATCCTGACTTTAAGAAGTAAGCAAGCGCTAAAAAAAAGTCCCTACAGAGTAGTTTAGAAACAGGTATTGTTTTATGAGACTGAAGCACCATCAGTATTGAATTTTAACCGGTTCACCAGGTTCTACTAGAGTAGGGCTCAGTCATACTTGATCCTATTCATGTTTCTTCGATGGCTATAATATATATATATAACTTTTAATTTTTTGTCTAATAGATTGCCGACAAATTTAATTTTTTTTAAGGATTTTATGTTAACTTTAAACTTTCAATTTCGAATTTTAAATATTAAAGTTTGTAATTTTGAAAATTATGGATTCAATTGACTCACAATTTGTAATTTAACTTAATATTTATTACGTACCAACTCAAATAAATAAATAAATAAATATATATATATATATATATATATATAATTTTATTTGTTGGTCAAATTTTGAAAAATTTGACTTTAAAGTTAATAATTTTATTTTTTATTTGTAATACTAATTTTTCAAAAATTTTCTAGATGAAAGGGAAGTTTCCACGATCACGTATGATAATATTATATATTTATTATGTTAAATTACAAATTTACTTTATGAATTTACAAATTTAGTCTATTTACCTCCACGTGGCGGGTTCTATAGATATTGCATTAAATTTTAATTTTAATTTTTTTTTTAAATTTTGGGGCCCAAACCTTATCTTTAAATTAAAATTTAAAAACGACGTGGCAAGTCGGTGTTTTTAATTGGTCCACGAAAGGTTACGATCGGACGGATCCGCTTGGTCGCTTTCCCGAATTCTTGGGGCCCACTTTCTACAAATGTCAGTAAGTGGGACCCACACGCTATTATAAAAAAAACAAAAGTAAATATAAAAATCAAAATAAATACTTACCTTTTCGATTACTTGACTATCTAACCCAACTCAACTCAACTCAATGCGTTAAATTTCTTTTCGGTTTAGGGTTGGGTTAAATTTTTAGAAATCGAGACACGATAAATTTGAAAATAGAGTTACAACTTCGACTTTTTTTTTTAAATAATATTTTTAACTAATGTTAATGATGCTTCATGCGGGCGAGTTGCAGCCTACAATCCGAATTGAGGACGGGTTTTTGGAGTTAGCTCACCCTCGCGGGATCACGACTCTTTGTCCCAACCATTGTAGCATGTGTGTCGCCCAGGACATAAGGAGCATGATGACTTGACGTCATCCTCACCTTCCTCCTGCTTATCACCGGCAGTCTGCTCAGGGTTCCAACCTCAACGGTTGACAACTAAACAAGAGGGTTGCGCTCGTTGCGAGACTTAACCCAACACCTTACGGCACGAGCTGACGACAGTCATGCACCACCTGTGTCCGCATTCCCGAATGCACCCCTCTATTTCAAGAGGATTCACGGCATGTCAAGCCTTGGTAAAGTTTTTCGCGCTGTGATTTGTAAATGATTAATATTTGAAATTTATGAGATTTTAGTTATTAATATAGCGTTGATAAATATAATTTTTTTAAATAATATTGATTGATTTACTCATAATTTTGGTATAAATTAAGTAGGTATACTCTAACGTACTGCTTTTAAGAGTGTAAACTAAATTTAATGATCCAAAAAAAATGAATTTATTTATTGTTAATTATAAAATATATATTTACGCTTACCATACAACTATATATACATATATTTATTTAATTTCTTAATTTTTTTTATTATATATTCTTCCACTCCTATTAAAATAAATTTTAATTATTTATAAGATAACGTTTCAAATTATACATTGAAATTAATTATAAGTTGAAAATAAATAAATAGATATTTTCTCAACTAATATTTTATTTTTATTAAAAATAAAAATTTAAAAATTTATAGTTTGGTTGGTTTAATTTATTATTTAATAAAAGTTCTTATCACGGTAACAATTGAGTTGAGTCTAAAAACTGTTCTAACCAGACTCCACGAACATCGAAATTCACTTATTTTTTAACCTACGAATATAAAAAGTCAAATCAATGGTGTAGTAAAAATTAGATACTTACTGCAATATAATAAATTATAATAATTCTCAATAAATGTATAATTTTACTTTAAAAAATACAGTTCGAGTAGATTTAGTCGGTGGAATAATAAAATTACCAAAGTACCCTCGAAAACATTACGTAATTGCTCGTTTTAAAGTAAACAAAGGTTAGGGGCATAATAGTGATAAACATTGCTTAAAAAAGAAAAAAAAAGAGAGAAACATTTGACTAAGAGTATGATGGGAAGGGAGCAATTAGGCAAAGCATGAAAATGAAATGAATTTTTGAGTGTCAAAAGCTTTCAATAATAATAATAATAATAATAATAATAATAATAATCTAAATTAATGGGACCCATTGTACGTCCCTCACATGGGTCACACCCCATGATTTGCGCTATCTTTTTTCAAGGCTATTCTTTTTGTTTAATCTAAATATTATTTTTTAAAAAATTATAATAAATTAATAAACACGTCACGTCATGCTAACATTTTGAGAACGATATTTAACGACATGGATTAAATGAAAGCATAGTACAAAGAGAACGATATTTTTTTAAATAATAAAAATATAGAATTTTTAAGTTTATTTTAGTATTTAATATTGAAAATTTATAATATTAGATATTAAATTTTGAAATGACATAAAGGGTTTATTAAATAGTTAAGGAAAACCTATTTTAAAGAATTGAAAAATATATTTTTATTTTATCTGAATAGTCAGACCAACCAAACACAAAAATAATGTTACCATCTGACCTGTATTTTAAAGATTATTATGAAAATTAAGAATATTTGACATTTATTATCAATATTACATATTTATTGTGACTTGTGAATGGATATTTACGAGACTTTAGTTATTAACTAACAAAAAGTAGTAGATAAATAAAAATTTTGAATCGAAGTACATTTTCAACATGAACCCACCTAATTATCACATCAACCCATTTAAAAAAAATAATATTTATTTATTTAATTAATTAATTTGGTTTAGAAATTTTAAAATAATTGACTTATTACAAAATTTCCATATTTCCAAATTTTTTAATTATTGTTTTTTCCAATTTTCAAAATTGCCCCTCTTGGGCTTGGACTTTTCGTACGAAAAATTCCACTCACCGGCTGAACCGGTCACCCTACTCCCTCCCTCCCCCTTTTCCTTTATAGACTCATCCCCACTCCCAAACTGCGAGTGAGAATTTTTCGTCGTCAAAATTCCCAAATCAATTTGTTGTTTAAAGCAAAACCCATCTGACAAAACCGCGTCAATTTCCTTTTCCTGATTGTTTATTCCTTTTTTGTTCCAGATTCCGATGTTCATTTGAACGACCCATTTCAAATGGCGCTCTTCAAATCCCCCATTCTGATGGATCTGATCTGAAAGATTCATGAACATTTTGAGGATTCTGAAATGGGTTTTGATTCAGATCTCTGAATCCTGTTCTGGGTCGATTTGTTTCTGTTTTTCTGGGTTTTTTAGGGCTGAAATTGGGGAAAAATGGGTAAAACGATGAACAGTTCCGGCCGGGATTGGACTCAGATCTATGCGATCTATGGAGTAGATCAATGGCAGACCATAGTGTTTCTTCTTCTACATGCTGTGTTTTTTACTGCGCTTTCCCTTTTTTACCTTTCTTACTTCGAAATCATCTGTTCTTTCTTCGAGATTCTGTTTTCTGGCGCCTCCGCCCGTTTCGCCGTCGGCTTCACCGGCTGCGTCACTGCCATCTCCGCCTTCTGTCTCTTCTTCGCCGCCGCGAACATCTTCTACTCCTCCCTCCCTCTCCACTACGAAATGGCTCTCCGTATGGTTAACGCCGTCTCCGATTGGTCAACTGTCAAGCACGCCCTCGACCTCGGCTGCGGCCGCGGCATTCTTCTCAACGCCGTTGCGACACAGCTCAAGAAGGTAAAAATTAAATTACCACAAAACTTGATGCGATACAGTAAATTTAATCTTTCGTTTCTGAACAGGAAGGGAGTTCGGGTCGGGTTGTGGGGTTGGATCGGAGCAAACGGACGACGTTGTCGACGCTTCGAACGGCGAAGATGGAGGGTGTGGGAGAGTATGTCACGTGCCGAGAAGGCGATGTTAGACGGCTACCGTTTGGGGATAACTACTTCGATGTGGTGGTTTCCGGTGTGTTTGTGCACACGATTGGGAAGGAGCACGGGCCGCGCACGGCGGAGGCGGCGGCGGAGCGAATGCGAGTGGTCGGAGAATTAGTTAGAGTGTTGAAGCCGGGTGGGACTGGGGTTGTGTGGGACCTACTGCACGTGCCGGAGTACGTGCGAAGGTTGCAAGAATTAAAGATGGAGAATATTAGAGTCTCGGAGGGTGTAACGGCCTTCATGGTCAGCAGCCACATCGTGTCGTTTACGAAGCCACTTCATCACTTTGTGGGGTTTGGCGAGGTCCGATTGGACTGGAGATGCTGACCTGGCATAATCTCATTGCCCCGTCAGCTTTTTTTTTCTTTTTTTAAAAAAAATTGAGAGAAAAAAAGAAATCTCGTAATTTTAATTATATAGTAATTAATAGGGTGTAGTGGTAATTTGGGTAGGCGAAGCAGACCCAAAAGGTTTAATGGAAATATAAATATATAATTATGCTGATTTTTCTTTTATATTGATTATGATTTTTGGGGGGTATTTATGTCTTTTCCTTTGTGTGTGGTTAGCTTGAGGGTGTTTTTTTTCTCCACTTTGCTTGTAGACCCATTTGACCTAGAGTCGGATAATTGGGTTTGTATAACGATCCGAGCCCACGACTAATAAATATTATCCGTTTTGGTCTTTATCTCCCACTCATAGGTAAGAGGTGTGGGAATTGAGGTTATGTCGAGATATTTACGTGGAACACGAAATTCGTATGAAAAGAAAATGTATGAATAATAAAGATGAGTGAGAGAATGGGGTCTTTGGTCAAATCACTATCATATAATTTTGATGCTGAAATGTATCCATTAGTGGCAAATGAGTGGGGGTCCCCTAATTCAATTTCTATCCACATTTATTCATTTATAATATACATAAATTAAAATAAATACATTATTTTTACTTCCATATTTCCCTGTTTAAATTTGTTGGTTAAATGACAACTTTACCCTTTGACCCTTCGTATATGTATATTAATTTTAAAATTACAGAGTTCTAATAGATATACTTAACCATCAAACATGTAATAGGGTCGCCACTTTATATTCCATTCTATAATAAGATTTGAATTGATTTGACGTTTTCTTTTCTGTTCTTCTAAATATCATTTTCCTCGTAGGTTTTGAGAGAGATGTTTGACGAATCTAAACTTGTTTTTTGGGTTTGGTGTTTTGTTTTAATATACAACTCTCGTTTTCCTATTAATAAAATGGATTATATATTATTTAGGGTTAAGTATTTGTTGAAGTTAGAAATTATTTCACAGTAGAAACCAATGGGATTGTTGATTTGTTAAAATTATTTCAATGTAAATATTTTAGATAATATATTGTATAATTTAAACCTCACAGACACAAGGTCCCATGGTCTAGTGGTTAGGACATTGGACTCTGAATCCAGTAACCCGAGTTCAAATCTCGGTGGGACCTTTTTTCTCTCATTTTTTTGGATAATTTATTCCCTTTATTTTAATTATCTCTTATTTCCAGATCATAATGGGTTGAATTGAGGGCCTTCAAATATTTGAATGAAAGAGAGGAACAAAATAAAATATAAATATATATTAAACAAAAAATAGAGGGTAAAAGGAATAATTCTTCAAATATTTGAAAGAGGTGGAAAAAAAGGGGAAAATATATTAACCAATAATAAAAGGAAATTATCCAATAATAAAAAAAGGAATAAATAAAGGTCCTACCGAGATTTGAACTCGGGTTACTGGATTCAGAGTCCAATGTCCTAACCACTAGACCATAGGACCTTTTTTATTACAATTTATCCATTAAAATTTTAGAATTTTACCCAGAAATTTGATAAACTTTGTTAATAATTTTCATGAATTTATTAAAATTCTCATAAATTATTTTTGGAATTAATTTTATGTTTTAAATCGACTAAAATATAACATTTTTGAAAGTGTTGTTTTGTGTCAATATTATTTTTATAATAATTTGATTAAGAATTAAAATGTTGTTCCTATAAAACACTCAAACAAGAATTTGAGTTAGCCCAAAAGAACCAAACTAGGATCGAACACAATTCTAAAAAAAATCTTTCTATAATTCTTCTGATGGATGTTGGTTACACTCGGATGCACTTTGCATTGTCGTGGCTCGTCAAATTTAACCAATGAAGACTAAGAAAGTATCTAACCCACGAGAACTTAGTCTACTCGAGATACTTCCTTTAAAATATTATAAGTCCTATTTTAGAACGGATGGAGTTATAAAAAATGTGTCCAATTTTAAAAATTTAAGGATATCTTTAAGATAAGCATAAAATTTGAGGATATGTTTATTCGGGGTCGCATAGGATAATGATTATGGATTATATTGTATTATAAAAAATAAAAATAATAATTGTATATTATATTTACAACATAGTTGGTTGGTAGACGTTGACTTTTTGACCTAAAGTACCGATTTTGAATCTATCTCACACACCGACCCACTCACACACCCACGTCTACACTGGCAAGAAAATTAAACATGAGATAGCTTTTTTAGGTCGGATTTGAACGTTTCGTCTATCTAGTGCAAATATCTATTTTACTCGTCTTAGACGGAGAGAGGATTCTCTATTAAAACGCAAAACGGGGAAAGGAGGATAACATTTTTTTCTATTAGATAAATGGGATCGAGGACGACGGGATAATACTTCCCATCCTCGCCCAATACCCTCACTTTTATCTATATATATAAATTACCTTCAAAAATACTGCTTTGATCTCCGCAAAAATAAATGGAGAATTTCCTTGGAATAGAGAATGAAATAGGTGACGGAAATGGAGATAGGGAAGGCTTCTCTGTCTTGTCCCATCCCGTGAACATCTCTAATGTTGTGTAATTAAAAGTCGTTTTTTTTAGTCCAACAGTGAAATATTTATAAATGATCAAGGACAATATTGTAATTTTTGAATAAAATAAAATAATTTTAAGGATAAGCTTTGGAATTTTGGGTAATATAAAATATAACCATGCTGCCTATAAATAGGTATGGATTTGCAAGCACAAATTTCATCAAGCACTTGAACACAAGAACAATGGCAAAGGCTTTGGCTAACTCTGCTAAGATGGCTGTTGCTTTCCTCTTCCTCTTCGCCCTTATGCTTTCCATGAATGGTAATCTACGCTATTTTTCGCTATCTCGTCACTATTTTTTTCAGATAAGACGTCAGAACAAGAACGTAAACCGATAGAATCGATTCTTTGTTGACATAATTTTTGTTTTTTGTTTCTACGACATGGTGGGTATAGAGAAGCTCGGGGTGGTGGAGGCAAAGGTGTGCGAGAGGCGGAGCAAGACGTGGTCGGGGTGGTGCGGGAACACGAGCCATTGCGATAGACAATGCAAGAATTGGGAAGGTGCCAAACATGGAGCTTGCCATGCCCAATTTCCTGGAAGGGCATGTTTTTGCTACTTCAACTGTTGAAAACCATATGCTTATCTTCATATCATCACCCTTCTAAGAATAAAAGCTTGGTTACTTACTTACTATGTGTGTTTAAAGGGATCTATGTGTATGTTTTTAACTACGAAGTGTATTGTCGTATGCAATAAATATAAACATCTAATATTTTGGTCGAGAATATATGTTTTAATCGGTTGAGTTATATACACGCGTTTTTGTAATTTGGACGACCGTTTATGTCTTAATAAGTAGATTTTTTTTCAATATTTTATTTAATTACATAAAGTTAAAGGTATTTATATGACTCGAGAACCTGACTAATTTAGATTACTTAATTTTTTTTTGTTTGGGTTGGGTTGACTTTTTAGAGAACGTAAAATTTGGGTCAGTTCGTGCATTGACATTTTACAGAAACCTGAATATAAGATACCATATAAGTTGGAGAAAGGAACGAAACATTTCTTATAAGGGTGTGAGAACTTCTTCCTAAAAGGTGCGTTTTAAAAATCGTGAGAGACTAACGACAATACGTAACGAGCTAAAACAGACAATATCTACTAACGATGTGTACGATGTACAATATGTAAGTGAGATTTTTTTAATATTATCTGTTCATTTAGTCAATGGTCGTGTTGGAAACTTAGTAGATCCAAATTTGTTTATATTGTTTATTTATCCAATGGAGTGGACACGTATATGTTTATCATTTTCTAATTTCCACGCATTGTGTGTGAGAACTATTTTATTTTATTTTATTTTATTTTTTTAAAAAAGAATTAAATTATTAAAAAATAAAATAAATGTTTTTAAATAAAAAATTCGACTTTGATTAATTAAAATATTATAACCTTAATGGAATATAATTCGACTTTTTAAATTCAATGAACTAAATAAAAAATAAATATTAAAATTAAAATATGTTAATTTATATTTTGAAAATATTAAATTATAAATTTAGTTAATTTTTTAACTTTAAAAATATATTAAAAAAATTAAAATTTTTATTTGGTAGTAATTATAGATTTCTGACATTTTTATTTTTTAAAATACCTTATTTATAGGATTCAATGTCCATAAAATTTTTAATTTATATCTAAACATAAAATTAAAAAAATTATAGATTGAATATAATATTTTTTATTGTTCGAGTGGTAAAATTTTCAACCGAAATAACTCCTATAAAATAATAAACATGTTGAGTTGGGGGTAAATTGTGAGATTACACATTGGTTGGAGAGGGAAACGAAACTTCGTTTATAAGAGTGTGAAAATCTCTTCCTAGCATACATGTTTTAAAAACATTAAGGTGAAGCCGGGAAAGGAGTGTCCAAAGAGAACAAAATCTTGCTAGTGGTGTGATTGTGTCGTGTTGTTACAGTTTTACTATAACTCCTCTCATAAACTACATCATAGAGCCTCCGCTGAGACCTCTTTCTTTAGAACTTTCGAACAACCTTCTCTTAATCGAGGTTCAACTAGACTTACAAGAACAGCAAACAATTAGGAAATTCAAAGAAATTTGTCGTATATGAATCAAAAAATAACTCAAAAGGAAAAAAATATATATATAAATTAAGCTTCCGCCATAGACATATTGGAAAGCCGACTAGGAGTTGGACGGAAATTCAGCCAACGGAGAGTGGGTTTCCGGGTGGGAGGCATCAACGCCCTTCTCAAAACCTCTCTCCTCCCTTGATTCCGCCGGAACTTATCTCCAGCAGCCGTCATCACATTCCGGCCACTCCTAACCATCCCACTAAAACTAAAGCTCCTGCAAGTGGATCTAATACTTCGGCTGGGTTCTCTGCCGCCGGCGGCGGCGAGGGAGGGCCTCCGAGCAGGCTGGGGCTGGGACTGGAAAATGGTAGGCATTTTTGGAGCGTTGGATCAAAACCCAGATGGAATTTAGTGGAGAAAAGTGGGTTTTGATGGAGTATTTAAGGATGGTTGGAATTGTCAAAGAGGTTGACCAAATTTGGAGGTGGCTTCGTTGACCGGCTAATGGCGCACCCGGTTGTTGATTGCATTGCTTGTTCTTCAAGACTTTAAATAAGCCGTTGTGTATGACCAAAGAATTTGAAAAGTCCTTAATATAAAGTCAAAGTTGTTCAGTTGTTTGGGTGTGTTAGTTGGTCTATTTATTTATTTTTAAATATTTAATTCTATTAAATAGTGGTTAGAAAATAAATAAAAGTAAAATAGTTATGAAATTAGAATAAAATAAAATAAAATAAATAATATGTATTCGATTGAGTAGAAGATTGAAATATCACATCAAGAAAATAAGAAAGTGACAATAAATATCACCTGACATTAAAAAAATGATCTGGAAATATATTTTAAATTCTATATATTATTAAGACTTTTAATTATAGATCAAAGTCTTGTCTTTTCATTAAAATGTATTTTTTCATTATTGATTTTAGACTAAAGTTTCTTCTCACATTTAATTGTAGCCTATGATTTTTAATCATATTATAAATAATTATTTTTTTCAATGATTAAATTTTAGACTCGGGCTAATGTTTGTTTAGATCGAAGAGAATTAACACGTGGTGACATTTTATTCCTAAGAAATGACATTTTAAATTTCAAATATTGAACAAATTCGATCAGCTCAACTCGTACAATTTAGGTTGAGTTATGAACTTATTTGGACTCGGTTTCCCGAAACTTAATTGGGTTGAATCAAACTAACTCGAATTTATAAATTAAATATATGTATAATTATATATACATATATTTAATCTCTCAATTGTTTTTTTAATTATTTATATATGACTCGAGAACTCGAACAATCTAAGACTATTCAAACCAAACTATAAAGGTTGGACTGGATTTTTTTTCTTGTTTGAGTTTGGTCGAATTTTTAAAAATTTAAAAATTTATTCACAAATTAGAAATTTTTTTTCATGTGAGTCAACTCGACCAACCCCAACATAGAATTATAATCGAGATTAAAAATAAATTATATACTTTTATTTATTTTTTTATTTCCTCTCGTATTCTATGAAGGATTGGATTTAAGTGAGTGGGGCCCACTATTTTGTTGGATTAATGTTTAATTAAAGATGCAATCTTAATTTGGTTAGCTATGTTGATGATTAATAAAGATAAACTTTATCTATCTTAGTACAAGAGGATCTAAGAGATATGTATTTGATATATTCGATTAATATCATTATAAAATTAACAAACGAGGTAGAAACTGTTGGATGATGAAAGTCCCACATCGGCTAATTTAGGGAATGATCATGGGTTTATAAGTGAGGAATACTAACTCCATTGGAATGAGGCCTTTTGGGAAGCCCAAAGCAAAGTCATGAGCGCTTATGCTCAAAGTGGACAATATCATACCATTGTGGAGAGTCGTGTTCGTCTAACATGGTATCAGAGCCTGCCCTAAACTTAGTCGTGCCAATAGATTGGCAAATCCTCGAATGTCGAACAAAGGACTCCAAAAAGAAAAAAGGAGTCGAGCCTCGATTAAGGGGAGGCGTGCTTTGTTCGAGGGGAGGTGTTGGATGATGAAAGTCCCACATCGGCTAATTTAGGGAATGATCATGGGTTTATAAGTGAGGAATACTAACTTCATTGGAATGAGGCCTTTTGGGAAGCCCAAAGCAAAGTCATGAGCGCTTATGCTCAAAGTGGACAATATCATACCATTGTGGAGAGTCGTGTTCGTCTAACATGGTATCAGAGCCTGCCCTAAACTTAGTCGTGCCAATAGATTGGCAAATCCTCGAATGTCGAACAAAGGACTCCAAAAAGAAAAAAGGAGTCGAGCCTCGATTAAGGGGAGGCGTGCTTTGTTCGAGGGGAGGTGTTGGATGATGAAAGTCCCACATCGGCTAATTTAGGGAATGATCATGGGTTTATAAGTGAGGAATACTAACTTCATTGGAATGAGACCTTTTGGGAAGCCCAAAGCAAAGTCATGAGCGCTTATGCTCAAAGTGGACAATATCATACCATTGTGGAGAGTCGTGTTCGTCTAACAGAAACCTCTCTCTAACATACGCGTTTTAAAAACTTTGAAAGAAAGCACAAAGACGACAATATTCTCACAATCCACCTCTTTCAGGGTGCAGCGTCTTTGTTCCAATCGATACGGAACCCCTACCAAATACACCTCCCTTCGAAGCCTAGCGTCTTTTCTCGTGTCTACCTCCCTTCGAGGAACAACCACCTAGTGTTTGGCTCTGATACCATTTGTAACGACCCAGGCCCACCGCTAGTGGATATTGTCCTCTTTAAGCTGTCTCTTACTATTTTTAAAATGTGTCTACTAGAGAGAGATTTTCACCGTCTATGTTTCGTTCACCAAATTAATTGAGGATAATAAAGTAAATGGAAAGAAATGTAAAGAGAGAAGATAGTGATAAGACAAGGACTTGATAGCAATCTAGGAAATGAGTGGGACCCAATTTTGATTACAAGAATTCCCCATTATTTACTATCCCTGGGACCCAATTTTGATTACAAGAATTCCCCATTATTTACTATCCCTTGGTATATGTTTCTAAACTTTATTCTCTCCTTTGATATATCTTTCGCCCGATTTAGTTGCTCGGTTCGACTCGATATTCAACATTCAATGTGAAATCTTTTCATTTTAATTTTTATTATTTGAATCGACCATCAAATAAAGAAAACGATCCATCAATTAAAATTGGTCGAAACAGCTACAACTATCTTAGTCTATATTAGCATCGTACATGTTAATATGTCTAATTTTCTCAATCGATATTAAAATGATGATTTTACAAATAAAAATTGAGTGATGATGAGTATTTTGAATAATTTATATAAACCGAGAATATAACGTTTAAAAAAAAGGTAAATGGTGAGGAAATTGTGGACGGAAGTGACTTTTGTGAATCCTAGGAATTGCTTGAATTTCAAGAAAAGTTGTTCATGTTATTGGTGCCAAAATATTAAAATAATAATAACAAAATTGTAATTGACTCGTATTATCATCAACCTCACAGTTCTAAAACGTGTATGTTAGGAAGATGTTTTAATACCCTTATAAAGAATGTTTCATTCCCCTCTCAATCGATGTGAGATCTCACAACCACCCTTTGGAGGTCAGCGTTCTCGTTAGCATACTGTTTGATATTTGATTATGATACCATTTGTAACAACTCAAACCCACTGGTAGCATATATTATTCCTTTGGACCATTATGTATCACCGTTAGTCTTTCCGTTTGAACTCGTATTTTAAAATAAAAATAAATGAAAAAGAAAATAGGAATATTATAATTATGAAATTTATGGGCATAAAAAAAAACAAAAAAAAAAACAGAAATGGCCCACTTAATTTCTTTATTCATAAATATTTGTTTGAAAAATTGGCCATTTAGTTTGATATCAACACCATGACATCTTAAGCGTAACCCTTTATTATTATTATTTTCCGACGTCATCCGCGGCTCGCGGGTCCCACCCTTATCCTTTATTTTGTCGTCTAGCTTCATCCCACGTGTCATCGCTCCATTTACGAATTACACGTGTCGACTCATCAACGTCTTATATTCCAGTTCGTATCAGCCCTCATTATCGCAATATATAGGGCTATTATGGTAAATTCAGCTCTAGCTTTGGCCACGTGGTAAATTTCTATTCGGTTATTTTAAAGAGCTTCCGATGTAACATATGTACGTGATTATTCCCCCACCAATGATTCTCGAATATAAATTAATAGAAAAAAATAATTAAAAAAGGAAAATTTTGATATTTTCGTGTTTTTTTTTCTTTTTTTATAAATATTTCTGTGGCCAATTTACAAAGCCTGGGAATTTTTGCAAGTTGTTGGATGGAGAGTTCAAAGCCGGCGCCGGCGATCGATTCAGACCGGCCGAATCTGCCGCCGGGATTCCGGTTCCACCCGACCGACGAAGAGCTGGTGGTTCACTATCTCAAGAAAAAGACCACTTCTCTGCCCTTGCCGGTGGCCATCATCGCGGAAGTTGACCTCTACAAGTACGATCCTTGGGAGCTTCCAGGTGGGTTTTTCGCCGGAATATTCGATCTCCGGCTAAAATTGGGTTTTTTTAGTCAAATTTTCCTAATTAATCTTTCAAAAAAATAATTTTAAATATATGGGTTGTTATAATTATTTTGATTAATTTTGTGTTGAAAATTTCAGCTAAGGCTTGCTATGGGGAGGAAGAATGGTACTTTTTCAGTCCGAGAGATCGGAAGTATCCGAACGGAGCACGGCCAAATCGTGCGGCGACATCGGGGTATTGGAAGGCAACTGGAACTGATAAGCCGGTGATTGCTTTGTCGGAAGGGAATCGGAAAGTTGGTGTGAAGAAGGCTTTGGTTTTCTACGGCGGAAAGCCACCGAAAGGGATCAAAACCAATTGGATCATGCATGAATACCGTCTCGCAGATAACAAACCTGATGGCGGGAACAATAAGCTGCCGGAGTTCTATATCGGCAGCAAAAAAAGCTCAATGAGGGTATGAATTTGGAGAATAAAGTTGGAATCTTTTTCAATTTTGAATTTTTTTTTTTCAAATTCATAATCAAAAACAAATTTTAATTGTGTTTTTTCAGCTGGATGATTGGGTTTTATGTCGGATTTATAAAAAAACAATCTCCAACAAACCAGGAGTAGATCATGAGCTGAAAGATTGCTTTAGTTATATGGGTGACCTAATTCCTCCATCCATAACAATCCACGGCTACAACCAACAAATGACGACGACAACGACAACGACCGCAGCGGCGATGAACCGTAGCGTGTATTCTGAATTAGCTTCTTTATCTCTTCCGACGAAACAGCGGCTGCAACCAACTTCATCATGGGACGAGGAAGAGTATCAGTCAGCCAACGACCAACCATTGAGCAAGAGATTACAGTTGATGAACGGTGGCAGTGTTGACGACAACAACCCGATCGCCGCTCTTCTCAGCCAACTACCACCGCTGCAGCAGCCGACATTGCAAGGTTGTATAGTAGGCGACGGGATATTCCGGCCGGCGATCGAATTGCCGGAGACAAATTGGTATTCATAACACACATATATACAAAATTAGATTAAAAAGATGATATGGTTACCTAAAATATACAGCTGATTTGATATTTAGGGAAAATATTTTTAATATTTCGGGGATTTTAATGTGTAAAGAACTAGATTGACATAACCCTAATTGTGTTTTTATTATTATTGGGGTTTGAAGATTATATATGTTTGTATTCATATACATGTTTTATGTATATAAAGATATGAAAGAATTAATATATTATATGATTCTAATTGTTTATATTATTTAATTATATTTATCGATTCGAGCGTAATTAAATGAAAAGACATGACATGTAGATTTTCCACTTTACCCGACGAATAGATAGGAATGACAAGAGAGATGTCCATTTAACCCGTGCAACTCCATCCTAATGGAGCGAGGAGATATTTCTCCCTGTTAGATAAATGAGGTCGAAGATGAATATTATGGAATTAATATTTTAAAAATATATATAAAAAGCTTTTTTCCTCGAGCAAATATTCTTAATTTTCATAATAATTTAGGTTGGTCATTGACCCATTATCATTTTTAGAACTAACGTTAAATTGACGACGAAACTCAAATTTCAAAATTAAAATGTCGAAATTAAAATTTTATTGACGAAAATGCTACTGAATCCAAACCGCGTTCGAGTTTCAGTTAAATTAATATTATAATTTTTTTAAGTGGAGGGAATCATTCCATTTAGAACATCAATTATTAAAGATTTAAAATGTTGTATGATGCATATGTTTGAATCCATTTAGGCCCACAAAATTTGACTTATCATCAAAAAAAAAAATGAAATGTAACCATTTTATATTAGAAAATGAAGTTTAAGCTTTTTTTAATTATTTAATATTTTCCTAATTTAATCTTCGATAAAACTATCGGAACAAATATTGGGTTGAATTGGATTTATAAAATCTTTAAATCAACTCGAAATTTCGAGTTGGTTGGATTGGTGACTCGATCAACCTTAATAGAGTTTGAAACCCAACCCAAGTAAACCCTCGATTTTCTGGGTTGGGTTAGGTTGTCAAATTGTTTTTTTTTTAATTATTTTAAAAAAATCATACTTATTTATTGTATATGTTATATTAATAACTAAAATCTCAAATATCAAACATTCACAAGTCACAACGTATCACTAATATCGATAACAAACGTCAAATATTCTTAATCTTTGTGGGGTTGACTCGACAAGAAAATGTCAACCTGTAAATCGATTTGAATTCTTCAACCTTCGATAATCCGAGTTGATCAGATTATCGAGTCATATGAACCCTCTTAACGGTAAAATCTAAAGAAATAAATAATTAAAAAAAAATCATTATGAAGATGAAATAAGCAAAATTGGAAGGACTTGGAAATAAAAGAATTAGATCCAAAATAACAAAATCAAAGAGATGGGTGGATGCCATCTTCATTTGATTTGGACATTCAGATATATTCCATGGACTTTAAGGCCACAAGAAAATTGCCTTTTTGTTTTTTCCATAAATATAATAAAAAGAATAAAAAAATCACATGTTTATCCACCACATTTTTATGGACATGACCCAATTGTTCGTTTTGGCCCATTACGTATCGTCGTTAGCTTCACGATTTTAAAATGGGTCTATTAGGGAGAAGATTTCATACTCTGGTAAAGAATGCTTCGTTCCCTTCTCCAACTATTATGTTTAGGTTACAATTTTTTTACGAACATAAATCATACTCGTTTTAAACTTTTCGACTCTAAACTTCAAACCAACTCATGTAAGGGCAACGTGGTTTGGTTTGGAGTTTGGGATTGGACCAATGATTGCATTAAATCATCTCTCTTCGTCCACCCCCACGTGTAACGCATGTTTTGTCCGACCTCTCCCATGCACCCTCCATTTTTTAGCTTCTGGAACCAAGCTCAAAAATATAGGGGTAGTACCCTTTGGACGGTAGGGGTACCCATTTGATGTGAAGTTAACGGTGGACCAATTATTTTGCTGCTAGCTAATACAACTATCATATTCAATTGGTAAGCAATTGGGATAGGCCTGTTTGGACAATATGTGCTAGCGGTGGGGTTTATTATTTATTTTTTTGGGTTTGAGTTAGGTTTGGGCTTTTGTATGTGGACCTGCATACCCTTTAGCGGCGGCCCAAACTGTCGGCCCACTGGTTGGTTTGCTTCTTTCCTCGCCGCTCAAAATCTTCTTCCTTCTTTCCTCGGCTCCGTTGAGGGCAAAAATGCCATTTAATTTTAAACATAACATCCTTGATTTTTATTTATTTATGTTTTTTAAATACTTAATATTTACAAACTTTTTAATTTTTTAAATCCGGGTTAATTCAAATCATTAGTCTGTCGCTTTTAAGATGGTATAATAAAATACCCAAAATAAAAAAAATAAAAAAAACTCGATTTTTATCTTTGAATCACTGTTGTCATCAGTTGAGCATATGACGGTCATGGTTACCCTGATATTTGAAATGACGAAACGTTCATGTTATTACAACCGGTAGCATTTAGGAATGGCAACGAACATTTTTTAATAATAAAATTCTAACTTATTCATTTTTAATAATTTTTCTTATTATTGATATTATTTATTAATTAATTATAAAATATCAATCATAATTAACAAACATGTTTTTATTTCAATAAAATAAAATATTTAGACAAAAAAAATTTATTCTATAATTTAATTTTACCATATAAGGTATAAAAAAATTATATTTGATACTATTATTTAAAACAAAATAGTAAGGTAATTTATTACATAACAAATTTCAAATTTAAATTTCTTATAGCAATTAACAATATATTTTTTTAAAATATGATAAAAAAATTCAAACGTCTCGTCGGAAATACACGTTCTAAGTTAAATTAGGATATTAATGTATTTGTTCGACTATTATTATTTTTTCTTAATAATTCTATAAATAACATCGAGAGATTAAATTTATCACTTAAAAATAAAGAAATTATATTCTTAGACAACTTTTATAACTTGCTCGTATATAGAAATAGTTATATATATATATATATATATATATATATATATATGCATAAAGTTTTAATTTAACACGTTATGTAGTAGGAAGGAAATTGGTTGTGAATTTGTGGTGACATAGAAGACACATGTATAAGGAAAATAATGCTTTTGTTTTTTCTTCAACATAATTATTAATTTTTAAAAAATGGTTATTAATATGAGTGGTTGGATATCGATTAATTTAGAGAATAATAATTGGTTTATACTCCAGAAATACTCGTATGAGGTCTTTTGGGGAAGTATAAAGCAAAACGATCGTGTTCATCTAACATGGTATCAAAGTCATGCCCTAAACTTTAGTCATGTCAATAGAATCCTCGATTAAGGAGAGGTGTTGGATGTGGTCATTCTTTTAGAATTATCATGCGTTTATAATCGAGGAATATTATCTGTATTGGTTTGAGGCATTTTGGGGATGAGCAAAGTCACGAGAGCTTATGCTCAAAGTGGACAATATCAGATTATTGATTCGTTTGTTCATAGTATAATTGATATGTGGAAATCACTACAAAAGGAGTAAGATTCGGATTAACTTGTTGATCGAATATCTCAAGATAAGAACATTGTTTGAGATTCGAATCACTCCACAAGTAAGATCGATCATGTCTAGCTTGAATGATTCTTGTTGATCAAATATCTAAATGCAAGAACACTTGCTTGAGATTCGAATCACTCCACAAGCAAAATGGATCATGTCGAGCTTAAATAATTCTACATGCAACCTAAACTAATAGAATTGGAAAGAAACTCAATCATTTGCTAAAGAGGAGCACAAATACTTCTTTTACTATCTTTTTCAAGTCTGCTTACAAATACAACCATCCAAAATACATTAATGAAATAGACTAACGCTAAATTGTAATCCATCCAAAATTTACAACATGAACTTCATTCTTCTTGAATGTGGCATGAATTGAAATATATATTCTTCATAAGTTAATATATTATATGATCGAGGGCTTTTGGTTCATATCAATAATATAATATTTAAATTTTTTTAAGAGTTTTTTTTTTCGTTTGCTTATTTGAGGCGAAGCTTGTGATTTTGATTTGCCAATCGGCGGCCCCAAAGTTTGAAACGGTCACAATGGGCACCAAAATCCTTCCATTTTGCTCATCTCTTCTGCTCATCCTTTGCCTTGCCTCGCATCCTTCAGCTCAGAGTTTCGCCCAAAACGAAGAACAAGAACAACAAGAAATCAAAAGATCAGATTTTCCAGAGCATTTCTTGTTCGGAACTGCCACTTCTTCGTACCAGGCACTGATTTCTTTCATCTTCTTCGTTTCCATTTCTGGTTCTGAAGCTTTTAGGGCTTTTTATTGTGCAGATCGAAGGGGCTTTTCTTGAAGATGGAAGGGGAACGAGCAACTGGGATGCGTTTTCCCACATTCCAGGTCTTACCCACTTTCTAATTTCACTTTCCCATCAAAACCCACTTCTCCGATTTGCGTATAACTTTCGTTATGATTCGGAATTTTGCAGGAAAAATTAAGAACAACGATACCGGAGATGTCGCCGACGATCACTACCACCGGTTTCTGGTACTCTGTTTTACTCATTCTCCGGTCACCGGAGCTTCAATTGAGATGAGCTTGGGTTTGATTTGCAGGAAGATATTGAGCTGATGCATTCCATGGGGATGAATGCTTATCGGTTTTCCATTTCCTGGACCCGAATTTTGCCAAGTAAGCTCCCCTCCTTTTCTCATTACCCAGTTAGTGTAAAAAATTTCAAAACCCGGATAGACTTCCTCTCCTTGCCTAATAGGTTTCGGTGTAACAATCCAAGCCCACAATTACTAGATATTGTTGTGTTTCTGTTTGCCCTCTCTGACTTCCCTTCAAAGTTTTTAAAACGCATCTCCTCGTAAGAAGCTTCATACCCTCTAAAAGGGTTTTTTTCGTGTTCCTCCCCAACTGACATGAGATCTCACAATCCACTCTTTTCGAGACTCAGCCTCCTCACTGACCCATCACCCGATGTCTAGCTCTGATACCATTTGTAACCGCCCAAACCCATTATTGTCCTCTTAGCTTTCCCATTCCGCTTCTCTCTTAACGTTTTTAAAAATCATCGGCTAAGAAAAGGTCTCCATATTCTTTCTCAGGGATGTTTTGTTTTTTCCTTTGAATATTTTAATTTTTTGATAAAATTAAAATTTTTAAAAATAAAATTATAATTTAATTGGTTAACAAAATTATTATTTTTTAAAAAAGAAATTAGGTTAATATTTATTTTCTAATTTATTGACGTTAGCAATAATAATTAAATGCAATAAAGTAGTCTACATTTGACTATTATTTAATGTGAGGAATGTGCCTTTGTTACCAAATAAAATAATAATAATAATAATATATGCTTTTTAAACGAATCATAATCTTTATTTATTTATTTATTATTATTATCTGGAAATGGAATCTATCTCAAAGATTTTATATATATATATATAAATATATTAAAATATTTGGAATGCAATCATAATCTTAATTATTGAAAGATTATATTAATAATTTAATTTTTGTAATAATAATAATAATATAGGAGGGCGATTTGGTAAAATCAACAGAAGAGGGATCTCTTTCTACAATAAAGTAATTGATCGTTTGTTGCTAAGAGGTACCTCTCCTATTTCCTTTTGTTACTTTTACCCCTTTTTTTAGGGTAAATTACAATTTTAGTTTTAATTTATCTATAATTATGAATTGGGCAGGCATAGAGCCTTTTGTGACCATTCACCATCATGACCTCCCCGATGAACTGGACAAAAGATATGGAAGTTGGATGAGCTCTCAAATGCAGTAATTTCTCCTCTTTTTGTCTATTTTAATACTCGATGGCTAGAAAAATTCGGTGGATTCGGGTTGGGTTATGAATTTATTTTGGTTAGATTGGATTGAATATATGAAAATTTTATGGGTTGAGTTGGTTCATGGGTTTCGTCGGTGAGATCTTACGTTAGTTGGAGAGGGAACGAAACATTCCTTATAATGGTGTGGAAATATCTTTGTAGTAGACGCGTTTTAAAAGGGGGGTTGATAGGGATACGTAACGAGCCAGAACGAACAATATCTATTAGCGGTGGGTTTGCGCTATTACAAATGGTATCAGAGCCAAACATTAAGTGGTGTGTCAACGAGGATGCTGGACTCTAAGGGGGTGGATTGTGAGATCGCACATTAGTTGTAGAAGGGAACGAAACATTTCTTATAATGGTATGGAAACGTCTCTATAGTAAATGCGTTTTATAACTGTGAGGTTGATGACAATACGTAACTCTCCTCACAGACACTAAGCTGCGTGTCAGCGATGACGCTGGACCCCAAGGGGTAGATTGTGAGATCTTATATTAGTTGGAGAAGGGAACGAAACATTCCTTATAATGACAGAGAAACCTCTCCCTAATAGATGAGTTTTAAAATTGTGAGGCTGATGACAATACGTAGCTCTCCAAAGCGGAGAATATCTATTGGTGGTGGGATTGGGCTATTACAAATGGTATCAGAGCCAGACATTAAGCGGTGTGTCAACAAGGACGCTAGACCCCAAAGGGAGTAGATTGTGGGGTCCCACATAAGTCGGAGAGGGGAACAAAATATTCCTTATAATGATATGAAAACCTCTCCCTAGTAGATACGTTTTAAAATTGTTAGGCTGACGGCGACACGTAATGCTCTAAAGCGGACAATATTTACTAGCGATGAGTTTGGATGGTTACACTCTTAATTCTTTTTTTGTTTTGTTTGAAAAAATTTACCATTCAAATGGTTGGGTTGGATCTAAAAAATAACACAACCCGACCCAATCCATGAACACCTCTGCTTCTTTTTGAGCTTTGTTGGTGGATGTCAACTAACATAATTGGGACAATCCAATGGTTTATTGTTTTAGGGAAGATTTTGTGTATTTTGCACGAATATGTTTCGAAGAGTTCGGAGATAGAGTGAAGCATTGGATAACCATAAACGAGCCGAATTTGGTGGTATTAATGGCTTATATAAAAGGAGTTTATCCACCGGCTCACTGCTCACCACCTTTTGGAAATTGCTCGGTTGGCAACTCGGATATCGAGCCTCTCATCGTCATGCACAACATGTTGCTTGCCCATGCCAAAGCCGTTCGACTTTATCGCACCCATTTTCAAGTAGCATTCTTCTATTCCTCTCCTTTTATTCATAATATCTTTTTAAAAAATTGTAACAATTTTATTAAATTCGACCTTAGGATTAGTTAAAACAGTTATAAAATTATTAAGTTTTATTAATTTTATTTATATATTTAAACCTTATTTGTAGGGCAAACAAGGCGGATCCATAGGATTAGTGGCATTTGGACACATGTATGAACCATTCACCGACAATGAATTCGACAGACAAGCTGTGGACAGAGCCTTGATTTTCAACTTTGCTTGGTCAGTTCTTTTTCCTTTTCCTTTGATATACCTTTGTGTCAAATTATGGAACGAGCACCGCTAGCAGATATTGTTCTCTTTGGATCTTTCTTTTCGGGCTCGAAGACGTAAGGTTTCCACACCTTTAAGGGTGTTTCGTTCTAATCCTCAACCAATGTGAGATATCACAATCCACTTCTTTCATGACCCAGACCAATGTGAGATCTCACAATCCACCCCCTTCAGGGCCCAGCGTCCATTTAAAACGAGTAAGGTTTCCACACCCTTATAAAGGGTGTTTCGTTTTCCTCTCCAACCAATGTAGGATATTGTCCACCCCCTTCAGGACCCAGTGTCCAACGTTCTCACTGGCACTTTTCCTTTCTCCAATCGATGTGGGACTATTACCAAATCCACCTCCTTTGGGATTCAGCGTTCATATTGTCACACCGCCTTGTGTCTACCCCTTCGGGGCCAGTGTTATAAGGGTGTTTCGTTCTCCTCCCCAACCAATGTGGGGATATTGTCCACCCCCTTCAGGGTCTAGCGTCTAGCGTCCTCACTGACACTCGTTCCTTTCTCCAATCAATGTGGGACCACTACAAAATCCACCCCCTGCTGGGCCAGCGACCTTACTGGCACACCGCCTCGTGTCTACCCCTTTGGGGGAACAGTCTCCTCGCTGGCACATTACCCAATGTCTGGCTCTGATACTATTTGTAACACCCGCCTCTAGCAGAGATTGTCCTCTTTAGACTTTCCCCTTCGAACTTCCTTTCAAGGCTTTAAAACACGTCTACTAGGGAAAGTATAATCAACTAAATTTAGCGAAGAAAACATGAACAGGGTGTACGATCCGATCGTGTACGGAGATTATCCAAAGGAAATGCAAGCAATATTAGGAAGCCAACTTCCACGCTTCTCAAAGGCAGAGAAAAAGATTCTAAAGGGAAGTTTGGACTACATTTATGTCAACCATTACACCACACTTTTCACAAAGGATTGCCTTCATTCTATCTGCTCCGACGATGCAAATCGTCCAATTAAAGGCTTCCTCGACACCACCGGCTACCGGGACGGTGTTTCCATTGGTGACCCAGTAAGCTCTTTCCCCCTTATCTTCTTGTGTTTATTTATAAATAGAACATGTGAGTGTGTAAATGATAAAGTTACCCTTTTTACATGACAGACTGGAGTTGACAGATTCTTTGTTGTTCCAAGAGGTTTGGAAAAAATCATTAATTATATCAAAGAAAGGTATCCCGACAAGCCCATTTTTGTCACTGAAAATGGTAAGTTGAGCTAAGTTTATAACATGGTATGATTTAAATTTTTCATTTAGGTTTTACGATATTGACAATTTTGTTTTATTTAAGGATATTCTGCACCGTCTACTGATAGTAACAACGTTGAAGACATGGTAAATGATACGAAACGAGTCAATTACCACAAGAAGTACCTTGCTTCCTTGGCAAAAGCAATGAGGTAAATAAACAACCTATTTACCTGTCTTTATACAATTTGTCTTACCTATCTATCTCTCTATATATATATCTAAAATATTTGCTATTTTTATTAAATTTGGGTAGGGTTGTTCATATGATCCGAGATCCCATTGGATTGGGTTGAGTATTTGGAAAACCGAATCAAAACTTTTTTTAATTGGGTCAATCTGACCAACCAAAAATAGGGTTTACAAGAGTTCTATCCTACTTTTTAATGAGATTTTAGTTATTAATGTGACATATAGCGTGAATAGATAGATTTTAAAAAATAAAAAAATAAAAAATTTAATGAACAACGCAAAAATGAAAGGTTAGGTTAGGTTACATTGTGTAACAGTCTAAACTCACCACTAACAGATATTGTTCGATCAGCCTCACAGTTTTAAAATGCGTCTACTAGGGAGAGATTTCCACGTTCTTATAATGAATGTTTCGTACTCCTGTCCAACCGATATGAGATCTCACACATTGTGAACCCTATTCAAGTTATTCAGATCACCAACTCAACCAACCTAAAAAAATTTCTTTTCATCTAATCCATGTACAACGCTAGAAATTAAATAATGTAATCCTGACCGTAGATTATAATTCCTTTTATGACAGGAATGGTGCTGACGTGAGAGGGTATTTTGCATGGTCGTTAATGGACAACTTCGAATGGGCCGATGGGTACGGTACGAGGTTTGGGCTTTTGTATGTGGACCGACAGACACTTGAGCGTCGGCCCAAACTGTCGGCCCAGTGGTTTGCTTCTTTTCTGGGCGGCCATCCACAAGTACTTACTAAGTCTTCATCCATAGTGAATACAAATGCGTTTGATTCCCTCATGGATGGTTAATGCAAATAATATCAATATAAGTAATATTAATGTAATATTAATGTAACAACTTTATTTTAAATAAAAATGTAAAAATAAAATATTAATATTGAATGGATATTTTGATGCTTCAAATCAAAGCCAGCTAGCTTTGGTTGCCACTAATTAGTTTATTAATGAAACAATAAAACAAAGTATAATAATTATGCAACTTGACTTGTTATTTCATATTAATTCAAACAATCAATGATTTTCTAATTTGTTAGCTAGTTTTTATAAATAAATAAATAAATAAAAACATAATTTTACATAATTTTACAAAACATTTTTTATAAGAGTGTAAAAATTTCTATCGAGCAGACTCGTTTTAAAAATGTTGAGAAGTTTGAAAGGGAAACCCAAAGAGTACAATATCTAATATGGATTTGGAAGATCTATACTAACAAGATGCGCTTTCTTTATCGGTGGCTCAATCATAGTAACTTAAGCAATTCTATGTTGGGCAGAGCTCCTATGAATAAATGCAAGGGAATGTCGGGACACATAGAACCCAAATCCGAGCTCCAAATTTTGATTCAAAAGGGTCAAGAGAATTGACTAACATAGTGCACCTTTTTCTCAAACAATTCTATATTGGGCGACCTTATGAGAATAGATGTAAGGGAATGTCGGGACACATAGATCCCGAATCTGAATTTCAAATTCTGAATACAGGGTATTCTAAATTCTATTAAATAAACGTCTATAAAAGTTAATTTTTTTTAATATATTAAAAACAAAAAGAGCTCAAAATTAGAAAGACCATACATGAAGGTTGGTACAATTTCATGTCATTATATATAAAACAAAGTCTTTACTATAATGTCTCAATGGGGCCTTCTAAGTTTGGGTATAATGTAACCATCATAGAGACTATTTGTCACTATAAGCCAGCTAATATGAGCTACATTGTTATGCTCTAAACACCCATTTTGTTCGTGGTTTTGTTCTTTTTTTAATTTCTAATAAATGATCGTTAAATTCATGAAATTCAATTGGTTCGTTATTTTGCTAAAAAAATATTTATTATATTTAAATTTTGATAGAAGTTTCAATTCAGTCTCTAAATTTTAGTTTGTAACGATTTAGTCGCAATACTTTTAAAATTGGAATAATTTAGTCATTGATTTTTTTACGTGTAATAATTTAGTGTTTATATTTTTGAATTAGTAACAATTTAATTTGTATCATGAAAAAAATGTCGTAATTCGTATTTACCCATCTTTTTAAAATTAATATGTTATGTTCTACCCACGTAATTTCTAAAAACTCACATTTTAATATATATATATCTAAGCGGGAGAATTGGGCGGGAATAGGAAATATTAATTTTTTCCTTGACCCCATTTATCTATATTAAGGATATTTAGTAATAAATTATAGTTTACCATATATATTATATTTGATATTTTATTATAAGTCAAATATCTAATATTTGCTTTATTATCATAAGTATCTTTCCATTTATTACTATTTTCATATCCTTGTAATTTATTTGATTATAAATAAGATAACTTTCACACCATTTAGGTGTGGTGGATTAATCAAACATTCACAATCTAATGTAAAAAATGTTTCCCACTCGTTCCCCCTTCACTAATTAAACGGGAAATTCCCTCCTCGTTCATGATGGATAAAATAGATATTTTTACCCATTAAAATTTAAATCATTAAAATTAGTAAAAATTTAATTTCTATAGTGTTTTATTCTTTTTAAAAAAGAGTTATTTTAAACTTTTCATTTTTTTTATTAAAAAATTCTAATAAATCTTTCATAAGGAAAAATAATATAAATTTAAAAAATTCAAAATTTAATATCCTGCCCCACTTTTAAAAATATCTTTAATTTAAATATTATAATTAGAGTCTCAAAATTAACTATTTTTTTTATTATATATATTAACAATATTATTATCGGTTGAAAATATATTTATATTAAATAAGATGAAACAGAGATTTGGGGTGGGAATGGAGACGGATAATATAATCCCGTCCCCGACCCCATTTGTGTAACAGAGAAAAAAAATGTTCTCCACTCCCTCTCCATTTTCAGTCTAAACGGCGAGTCCCCTCTATTTGAGACGAGTCTCTACAAGTAAAATGGATATCTGTGCTCATACATGGATATGGGTAAAGTCAAATGATAATTTTATTTTTAGGAAAAAAAAACATGTTTTTTTAAGAAACACAAAAAAAATCCATATTAATTTCATTGTCGTTTATGATTGTGACATTTTATCTAACATAATTAAAAAATGTAGTTGTTGAGTAAAGTATATTATTTAAATATCATTTGCTCTATAGTTTGTTACAAATTATAACTTAATCCTAATAGAAATTAACCACTCTTTGTTGTTTTATACTTTATTTCATTTATATTCTTAATTATTGCATTAATTACCCATTTAAATGCCATGTAACATCTCTTTCACTTTCTCCTAATTTATCAAACATCTCATTTTTAGCTGTTATAATAAATTTCATTAAATAATTAAGTAAATTGAGAATATTTAAAATAAAATAAATAAATATATATAAACCTATAGATGATTTGTTTAAAAAAAATAATTAATTGGACGGTTCGGGTACGATCTAAAACGATCCTACGTCCTAGAAAGAATCGAACAATGGAGGAAGCTTTTCGTGTCTTCTATAACAATCAGAAACATTGTTGTGTTTTCGGATCTGAGCTTTTGTGTCTTTTAAGCTTAGATCGGGGTGAATTGTGATGTCCCACATTAGTTGGGAAAAGAACAAACCATCATTTATAGGGGTGTGAAAATCTTCCCCACGTTTTAAAACCTTGAGGGGAAGCCTAAAAACCTAATTTTCCCTTCCTAGTATTGGATTTGGGCAAGTTAGAGGAAACAAGACAATATTTGGTAGTGGTGGATCTGGAGAACCCCACAAAAAAGATAATATCTGTTAGTAGTGGATGTAGGCAAAAGAAAACAATATTTACTGATCTGGGCAAATTGAAGATAACAATATTTGTTATCTGTTAATATATGGATCTGGTCAAGCCAAAAAAGTACAATATCGTGGATTTGGACAGTTATAAAATAACCCATCAATATCTACCCAACTTATTTTATTATTTTTTTTTTTTGGGTTAACCTCTTTTAACCGTCTTTAGTTACAATTAAATTCAATCCTACCCACCTTTTAACAAAAAAAAATGTTTCTACAAATTCATGGACGAACAAAAAGAACAACAACAACCACGATCGTCTTCATCGCAAGCTCTGGTGAAAGCCTTGAAAAATCTAAGCCTGTGGTTGGTGGTTGGATTATTCTTTGGCCATTTCTTCACTCTTCTTTCTCTCTGTATCTTGCTGTGAAACTGACAAAGAAGGAATGAAAACAAGAACACTTCAATAAAGCTTCCTTTTCCAATTTCCCCTCTGGCTCTGTTAGCCCCACCATCTCCATTTCTGTTTTTTTCCTGAAATCATCGACAATTCTAATGGGGATTTTTTGTGGGCGAGTGAAGAAATACGAATTTGTCGGCAATTTCATATGGACCCACGTTTTTCAATAATGTTCTAAACAAATCCCTCTTCTTCTCATTCTCTGAACACTTCACTCACTGTCCCATGTGCAACGAGCGCCTACTGTTTGGAGCCTTCGATCCAATGAATCGGCTGTTGAGGCTATGACCCATTTGTAAAATTATCTATCTCTCTTGATTTTCGCTTTTTTTCTGTGATTTGGGTTTCATGGATCCTCGCACCCGTCTGGATCATGCTCTGTTTCAGCTCACTCCGACCAGAACCAGGTTAGTTTTTCTGGGGTTTTGAGATTAATTGTTTGTGTTTCTGGGTTTTGTCCTGATGTTATTTGTGTGTTTGTTTAAGATGTGATCTGGTTATCTCCGGCATTGGAGGTGCGACTGAGAAACTGGCATCTGGGCTTCTTCAGCCGTTTATCTCCCACCTCAAATGTGCTAAGGATCAGATTTCCAAGGGGGGTTACTCCATTACTCTTCGCCCTGTTGCAGGATCAAACGCTTCTTGGTTCACTAAGGGCACCCTTCAGAGGTCATTTGTTCTTCTCCTTTTGGTACTCTGGATCTAAGCTTTTGCTGGTTTGTCATTTGCATAATTGCTACTCTTTTTGGAATTTGTTGATGTAGATTTGTGAGATTTGTTAGCACTCCTGAAGTTCTTGAGAGATTTGTTACTACAGAGAAGGAGATTGTTCAGATTGAAAGTTCTATGTCCACAGATGCAGAAGGTAATGAATAGGTTTCAAAGTATAGGGACAATTGATATTGCAATAACCTTGTTCTTAGCAAATATGATATGATGCTTTGATAGCTAGAGCTATTGATATTTTATGCGAGTTCTTTGGATGCATTCACTTTGATTTAGGCTCACCGCTAGTATGTATTGTACTCTTTGGGCTTTTCCTCTTGCACTTCTCCTCAAGGTTTTTAAAACATGTTTGTTAGGGAGAGGTTTCCACCCCCTTATAAAAAGTGTTTCGTTCTACTCCTTAACCAATGTGAGATCTCACAATCCACCCCTTCTTTAGGGCCCAGCGTTTTCGTTAGCACTCGTTCCCTTCTCCAATCAATGTGGAACCCCTCAATCCACCCTCCCTTTGGGGCCTAGTGTCCTTGCTGGTATACCGCCTTGTGTCCACCCTCTTCGGGGCTCAACCTCCTCGTTGGCACATCACCCGATGTTTGACTCTTATATCATTTGTAACAGCCCAAGCCCCCCAATCCACCCCCTTTTGAGGATCAATGTTCTTGTTGGCACACCGACTTGTGTCCACCCTCTTTGGGGCTCAGCCTCCTCGCTGACACATCGTCTGGTGTCTAGATTTGATATCATTTATAACAGCCCAAACTCACCTCTAATGGATATTGTTCTCTTTGGACTTTCTCTTTCGGGCTTCCCCTCAAGGTTTTTAATAACGAGAGGTTTCCACATTCTTATAAAGAATGGTTCGTTCTCCTCCCCAACTGATGTGAGATCTCACAATTACCATGCTTGATGCATCTAAGAATGTTTGACGTGCAATTTACAGGAAACACAACGACTGCTGATTGGAACTCGAAAAAATCTAGCCCCACCTCGAGGGTAAGTCGGTTTGTTTTTGTCATTCCATGGAGATGCAATGTCTTGTGGATGTTTATGCAGTGATGTTGGACCTTTTATTGTGATGGGGCAAATAGGTGAAGGGAAATTCGGATGAATATAACGACGATGCTGCGTCGAAGGAGAATCCCAAGTAATATCAGCATTCATATTACTTCTGGCTAATTAGTATATCTGTTAGATTTAGTATTGCATATTGTCTAATGCACTGATTTTTCAGTAATGGGTAATCTACAGGGTCTGCCTTCAGCGTGTTCTAGAGACTCGAAAAGCAGTGCTGCACAAAGAGCAAGCAATGGCTTATGCCCGTGCTTTAGTCGCAGGATATGAGCTGGATCATATTGATGATCTTATATCTTTTGCTGATGCTTTTGGAGCTTCACGTTTGAGGTATGAATTTTGCATTCATTGTTATGATTGGTTTGTGGCATTTCTCCCTTGTTGTTAGTTTTGAAGTTAATGACGGTTTCACATAGATTGTAACGGCTCAAGCCCATCGCTAGTAGATATTGGCTTCCCTTTGAGACTTTTAAAACTCGTATGCTAGGGAGAGGTTTCTACACCCTTATAAAAAATGTTTTGTTCTCCTCCCCAACTGACGTGTGATCTCACAATCCACCCCTTTAGGGGCCCAGCATTCTCGCTAACACTCGTCCCCTTCTCCAATTGATATGGGACCCCCCAATCCACCCCCTTCAGGGCCCAATGTCCTTGCTGGCACATGGCCTCGTGTCTACTCCCTTTGGGGCTCAGCCTCCTTGCTGGCATACTGCCTCGTGTCTAACCCCCTTCGGGGCTCAGCCTCCTTGTTGACACACCGCCTTGTGTTCACCCCCTTTTAGGGCTCAGCCTCTTCGCTGGCACACCATCTGGTGCTTGACTCTAATACCATTGGTAACGGTCCAAGCCCACCATCCTCTTTGGACTTTCCATTTCGGGCTTCTCCTCAAGGTTTTTAAAACGCGTCTACTAGGGAGAGATTTTCATGGCTTTGGTTTTCCTTTTCTGAGAGAGCGTTTGTTTAAATATTAGATAAATCATAAAGCACTATAATTTTGTTGATTTAGGGAAGCATGTATAAACTTTATGGACTTGTGCAAACAAAAGAATGAAGATAAACACTGGATAGACGAAATAGCAGCTATGCAGGCATTCTCCCAGCCAGCATTTCCTTACTCAGAAACTTCCGGTATTGTACTAGCCGGTGAAGACAACGAAACTAACGTCAATGCTCAAGCACCAAGATCGGATTCGACTGCAAGTCAAGGAAGTTTGGATAACAATCAAGGTATGCCAATGCTTTGATTCACATATATACTATGGGCTGTCTGATTTTTCTGAAAACTAGTTCTTGGGTTTACTACTTCTTATGTAAACCGATCTCTGATCGATCCAAGTTTATATGGTCGAAATATAAGCAGACGGTAGCCTTCCAAAATCGGCGCAAATGCCATCGTTGAATGGGAAAGCTCAAATGCCAATGACATGGCCGAATCATCTTCCTCAGTATATGCACAACTTTCATGGTCCATATCAAGGATATCTCTTGCCTGGAATGCAGATGCCACCACCATATTACCCAGGGAATATGCAGTGGCGATCCAATGCCGATGACTCGAGTCTTGTTTCTGATCGAGAACCGAATGGTCGTAGGAGTTCTAAATCTCATAAGATGAAGAAGAAACTTTCACATAAGGAGGTTCCCAGAACTTCAGAACAAGAAGGAACTACTGAGTCAAGTGAATCCAGTGTTGACAGTGAATCAGATGAACACTCCGATGACGAGAGGATACGTAAGAAGCGGCATGGAAAGAAGTCCTCACGAACGGTTGTTATTCGAAATATCAATTACATAACCTCAAAGAAGAATGGTGATAAGGGCAGCCACTCAGAGGATGATTCATCTGATGAGGGTGAGTTTATTGATGGGGATTCCATCAAACAGCAGGTAGAGGACGCGGTCGGGACGTTGGAGAGAAGACATAAACCAACGAGTCGACGCCAAAAGAAACAGAATGGCTATGGCAATGCTGATGGCTTAAATGATTCTGCAGGACAGGAGACTAACCGGGTGTCGAACAATTCCGAGGGAGAAAAGATCAGTAGCCCATGGGATGCTTTCCAGAGTCTTATTATGCGAGAAAACGAGCCTGATAACTCGGACAAACTGTCCTCGATTCAGAATCAAGACATCCATTTTACAGAATCAGAGAAAGCACCAAGACAGCGTGAAGTTTCAAGTGATTCTTTCATCATGACAGACAGGAACTCAGCTAATGAAGGAAGAACACATATTGAAAACTTTGAAGCTGGTGATGTTTCCAACCCAATTAACAGGAGAGAAAGCACATATGAAGAGCTATTATTTTCACAAAGAGGCGGAGAATCGAGGAACGATGCACATTCCACCGCGTCCGATTTTACCAACATGTCTTTGAGAATGAAAAATCAAAGAGATGGTGATTGGTTTGTCAGAAATCCAGCTGATAAATCCGACAATCAGTATCACAACATCGGTCCCGGAGTTTACGACACCGACTTCTCTTCATCAGCTCAGGAACATCTCTATGCAGAGAAACACAAAAAAGATGTTTTGGCTGATGACTCTTTCATGATTCAGCCTCGACCAATAGTAGACGACCAATCCAACTTTCAATCGAGACGAAACATAAGCATGGTATCGGACATTATTGGGGATACCAAACAAGAAACCTCAAGAGATGATAAGCCTGCAACTTTTGGTGTCAGTGAACCAGATGACCTTTACATGATGCTCGATCGAGACATAGCTATAGAGCATACCGTAGCATCTTGGACACCTGAAATGGACTATGAAAATAACTTTTCGACCATAGCCAATGGTAAACACAATGATATTGGACCCGACCGTGGTGACGATCACGAGTCACCTGGTTTGGAAAAGAGCAACAAAAATAAAGAATCTGGGAGCAAAGTTTCAAGTAAAGAAGCAAAATCCAAAGCGTTGGGAGGATCTCTTGTTCAATCAAGAACAAGAAAACCAGTTTCTGGTAGCAGAACTATAGTTCATAAGAGCAAATTTGAGAAGGTATTTTGATTATGAATTCAATCTCCAAAATACATACACTACAGTTCATAAGCTCTTTTTCTTCTTCGTGTTACAGGAAGAAGAGACGAGAAAGAGAATGGAAGAACTGGCGATTCAGCGCCAGAAAAGAATCGCTGACCGGAGCACATCGAGTAAATTTGGTAGTGTGAGTTCTAAGCCTGGTGTGTCTAAGATTGAGAAGCCAAAAAGCCAAGCCCAGGTTCAAGAAGATAAGAAGTCACCTAAGCCTGTGCTTAGGAGTTCGACCATAGATCGCCTTGCAACGGCTCGTACACCTCAGAAGTTGTCTGTAACTCGATCGCCATCAGGTCAACCAAAAAAGGCGATCTCTAGTGCAAATGGCATTAACACTCCTACCACATCAGGAAAGCTCCTGAAAACCGACAGTAAGAACCTTATCTCGAACAAAGTAAAACCTTCCAATTTAAAAAACGGGCACAAGAAATTGAGCAAGGCACTTTCTTCTGATTCTTATGGTCAGACAACAACGGATGGCAAGAACGACGAAGCAGCATTGCCAGCTGAGTCGACGATATCGATACCGATTGCAACTCAACCGATCGACAACGTCGATGACGATATGGAAGATGTTAAGGAGCTACACACTACCCATTCAGTGGAGAAAAATGATGAAACTTTTCTTAGTAATTCAAACGACAAGGTTTTGTCTGTGCCAATTGAAGAACATACAGATTTAGTGGTCTTGTCCAATAAAGCCTTAGACCCTTCAGTTATGAACACTGGAGAAAATGGGGTAGCTGATCATATTGAAGCCACACCCGAAATTTCTGAGATCGAGATCGAAATCTCGACTCCTCCTCCCTCGACGAACGACATGATCTCGGAGTATACGATACACTCGAGGAAGAAATGGATGAGTGATGAAAACTCTCCCAAAGCACCTAAAGGGTTCAGAAAGCTACTCTTTTTCGGACGTAAAACCCGAAACACGTCCACAGATTGATCCTCAATCGGTTTATTCTCTGGTTAATTGGGTTCCTTGCTAGCGGATGATTGTCTTGAATTATTTGTTGAGATTGTTTGATTGTTCTGCAGATAATAGGTGAGTGATGAGTGAGATGAAGCTAGTAGATGATCCTTGTTCTTAATAAGGCCATGGATGATGCTGCCATGTTTGGATTGGTGTTGTAACTTATATTGTTTCATTTTTTTTGCTTCAAGAGAGTTGTAAGAGGCAATGCTTATTCATTGGTTTGTATAATGTAATGTTACGTTAATAATTAAAATTTCATAAAATCGACACAAATATCGATTACAAATGTCAAATATTCTTGATTTTTATAATAATTTTGTTAAAAGTAGTATAGAATTGGTTTGGGTTGAGTTGAGTTGTAACCCTATTTTTGGATTGGTCGAGTTGACCTACCAAAAAATTGTCAACTCGCGAACCAACCGAAATTTTCAATTTTGAGCTTGATGGGACTAGGGAAGACGGTTGGATTATAGAGCTAGGGGTAGATCAAATCAAAGGTTTGTCCATTGGGATTGGGTATGGACGTGCCTCGACTAGGTCAGCATTGATGAAAGATGACAAAAGAGAAACTCACACCCTGGGTGGTGCGGTTGAGCAAGAGTGAGCTCAACAGTCGCCCTATGTTTCCAAAAATTCAACCCAACCAAACCGAAAAAAAAAAAAAATCTAACCCAACCCAACTTTTTTTAGGGTATGGGTTGTTTATATTGGTCGAGTTCTTAGATCATACGAATACTTCTCCTTTCAAAAGATGGGAGGGCAATACACATATCGTATCGACACGATAATCTCTCTTTTGAACATGAGAGTGCTCACACGCCCGTGTAAGTTAGATCAATCATTTGGTTCATTATCTTAATTGACTCAATATTTTTGAGATGGTAAACGATGCCTACTAAATTCGAAACTTGATAAATATTAGAATAGGAAAATAGATATTTAAATGTTAATATATATATTTAATTCAAACATTGAGGGATGAAATTACTTTATAAATTGGAACAAAGATCAACTCCTAGAATCTAGATCTAGACATGTCTGGGCCCACATAGTTTTTTACAAATACGATGACATGGCATCCTCTGATTGGATAATGAGTATAAGTGATCTGTGTACAGACTGTATAACATTGACAATTGTCACCTCAACTCAAAAACAATTAAAAAGACAACGAAGGACAACCAAACTTCGTTATGCTGCTGTCTTGAAATCCCAACCGTTGATTTGATCAAGAAAAGGAGTCAGATCAGCCGTTGGATTTGTTTTTCCTTGAGGACATAATTGGAAATAAAGAAAGTTGGTGGGCTTTAATTGTTCTGGAAGCATCTGCTACTTCTTTCCTTCTCTTATACACAATTTCCCCCACCGACAGTCAGGTGAGGCATCTAATTCTTTCTCAAATCCCCATTTTACCCTTCTATATAAAATAAAAAAATATATTTTTTAATTTTTTTTAATTTTTAATTTTTAATTTTTATGATGATAAATTCATGGGTTGAGATATCTACGAGCAAGGTGAAGATGGGAAAGCCTTCTCTGTCTCTGTTTCCGTTCCCGCCACTTATTTCATTCTTTATTTCTATAATGCGATGATAATTGTTTTCTTATTTTAAAGTTTTTTATTTTTTAATATAATATTTATTAAAAAAATTAAAAAAATAGCAAACATATATTAATTAACCACATATCTTTCCTTTAATTTAAATATTAAAATAGTATGAAAATTAATTAATTAATTTTTTTAATGTAGCTAAAAGAAATGTATATCCATATAAATTCAAAATATAATTATTTAAAGTTGGGATTGCGTGGAGATAGAGACTAGTCATATCCCTTACTCGATAGTTATATATTATTGTAAATCGTTGTTGTTGTCTTTTTTAATGCATTACATATAACACCAATTTCAATCTTTCAAATCTTGCTTTCAAAACTCTGCCATGTTTTCTAAAACTTTCTTCTTAAACCAAGACAAGAGGCTCGACCATACCTCGCTTGGCCGTAGCCGACGTAAGAATGAATTAATTTAGCTCACTTGTTGCTGGAGAGTGAGTGCTATACAATCGCAAGTTCGCTATCATTAAAAGTGCGATTGTGACACAGCTCCATTTATGGAACAAAGCTAAAATGTGTTACTCCCTCCCCGTCTTTGTTTAAATAGATAATCCCCTTCTCGTTTGGAGTCAGTATATGCAGGGCCCGAGAGCCCGACATTACGCAGGTAAAGTAGATCTCTCTACTTTACTCACGGAAGGTACGACATAGCTGAGTTTTTTTTTTTTTTTTTTTTAAGAAAAAAATTTATTTTTTAAATTATCAGAAATTCAGACAATACTATGGGTATAATGGGGATTTGTGCAAGCTAGTGGCAAGATGTTGAGACGTTATTTTCTCTTTCTAATTTTTTTTTTTTGTTTTTTTTTTCTTTTTCACTGTTTTCATCGGAGCAAAGCTTGTTTCTCTGTTCCTCTTATAAACCCCAACAAGAAGAGACACAGAGAGACAGAGAAACATTACTGAATCTGCTCAAGAATTGAGTAGAAACAAATAACAGGGCAGATCAAAAAAGCTCTGAACCAGTGTATTTTGTCCATCAATGGCGTCTAAATTGGTTCTGATTATAGTTATTGTACTCGATGTTATTGCTTTTGGCCTGGCCGTTGCCGCTGAGCAAAGAAGAAGCACTGTAAGCTTCAGTCCCTCTCTCTATCTCTTCCATTCATTGTCGCTTTCTTTTGTGCTTTTTACTGCAAGTTTTGTCGGTTTGGGGTTCTTTGATTTCTGGGTCTGTTTCGTTTCTGTGATTCTGTTTGTGGGTCGTTTTGGATTTGATGTAATCGGCATTGGAAAATCGAGAATGGATGAACCAAGAATCTTTCCTTTTCTGGGTTGTTCTTGGTCACCAAACAACGATTTATTGGCTTTTCTGCTTCAAATTTGTGGTATCAGTTCATCCATGAAGGTTCATAAATTAGGGCTTTAGTTGTTAAAAAACAGGAAAATGGAAATTGATAATGGATAATGGATTAAGTTGTTCTTGGTTTGAAAATTGTTGAGATGTTCATGATTTAGAGCATACTAACAATAGTGACTATACTTGGCTTTTCTAAAATGCAATTTTGAGCTAAGCTGAAGGCTGTTAGGAATCATGACTCTCCACAATGGTATGACATTGCCCATTTTGAGTATAAGCTCTCGTGGAGATGTATTCCTTACTTATAAACCCATGATCAACCCCTTAATTAACCGATGCGAGACTCCTCTCCTGACAATCCTCCCCTCGAACAAAGCACATCATAGAGCCTTCCTTGAGGCCTATGGAGCCCTTGAATAGCCTCCCCTGGATTGAAGCTCGACTCCTTCTCTGGAGTCTTGGAACAAACTACACCCTTTGCTCGACACTTAAGTCACTTTTGACTAGGCCTTCGAGGTTCACAACTTCTTTGTTCGATATTTGAGGATTCTATTGACATGACTAAGTTAAGGGTATGACTCTAATACCATGTTAGGAATCATGACTCTCCACAATGGTATGATATTGTCCATTTTGAGCATAAGCTCTTATGGCTTTACTTTTGGTTTTCCTAAAAGGCCTCATACCAATGTAGATGTATTTCTTACTTATAAACCCATGATCAACTCCTTAATTAGCCGATGTGGGATTCCTCTCTCAACAATCATCCCCTCGAACAATGCATACCATAGAGCTTCCTCTGATGCTTATGGAGCCTTCAAACAACCTCCCCTTAATCGAAGCTCGACTCCTTCTCTGGAGCCCTTAAACAAAGTACACTCTTTTCTCGACACTTGAGTCACTTTTGACCACACTTTTGAGGCTCACAACTTCTTTGTTCGACATTTGAGGAGTCTATTGACATGACTAAGTTAAGAGTATGGCTCTGATACCATGTTAGGAATCATGACTCTCCACAATAGTATGATATTGTCCACTTTGAGCATAAGCTCTTATGGCTTTGCTTTTGGTTTCTCCAAAAGGACTCGTACCAATGTAGATGTATTTCTTACTTATAAACCCACGATCAACTCCTTAATTAGCCGATGTGGAACAAAGGGGACTTCCGTATATTTCTCTGTTTCTGACTACTAAGCACATTACTTCAAAATGGTTGGGCGTTTACTTTCGATCTAGACAATGGTAAAATTAAGGTAACTGTTCTCATGTGTTTCCACCATCACTCACTCATTCATTCATATTGCTATGAATCTAATCTTACTAATAAGTTGTATCCAACGCATACTCAATAACTGGTTTTGTTCTGTACACTTCTGGTTTCTTCGTTACTTCGAAGATCGACGAGTTGGTTTCAGCTGATTTCTAATGTCTATATGATATACTAGCATAGGATTTGATGCATTTCTGCTGATAATGCATCGTGTATTTATCGTTTGATAACAGGCCAACGTTGTACCAGATAGTGAAAAGAATTACAACTATTGTGTGTATGACTCCGACGTCTCGACAGGCTATGGTGTCGGTGCTTTTCTACTTCTCATGGCTAGCCAGGCCCTCATAATGGTAGCTAGCCGATGTTTTTGTTGCGGGAAGTCGTTAAGTCCAGGAGGTTCAAGGGCGTGGGCTATTATCCTATTCATAATCTGCTGGTAAGTGAACCTATTTGTGAGCTTCACTCCTTAAGTTTAAACTAAAGGGTCCAATCCAATACACACAATCTTGCAGGGTGTTTTTCTTCATTGCCGAGGTTTGCTTGTTCGCGGGTTCGGTAAGGAACGCCTACCACACCAAGTACCGAACCATGTTTGGTGACAATCCTCCGTCGTGCCAAACTTTGAGGAAGGGAGTTTTCGGTGCAGGTGCGGCCTTCATTTTCCTTAATGCCATTGTATCAGAACTCTACTATGTATTCTACTCGAAGGCGAGGGAAAGCTTCCTTCCCTACGGCGGAGAAACGGGCGTTGGTATGGGAACCTACAAATGAGTGTACGTATAGTCAAATCTAATAGGATCGAAGCTCCCGGTCCGATATTGAGATAATTTTGCATATCAACTACTGGTTTTAGTTTAGGAAGAATTATCAGTATCAGAATTTTTAGTCTGTGAAGTTCTTTGTTTTCTCTTCCTTTTAACCACTGCTGCTGGGCTTTTCTTCTGTCTTTTTGGTGGATTGTTACATTTGTATTGACAATAAGAGAAACATTGGTTGTCTTCCTATAAATATTTGTATCTTTTGTGAAACCTCAGTGACATATATGTTCCATTTTTACCACTGGGTATTGGTTATATTGCAGAAAAACTTAGAAAAGTGGCAATGAATTCATATACTCTTCGGCTTGTCTGGTGTCACAATCTTACTTTTGACACACAATGTTCTAGTAGACAAGTGTACCTTGAGAATTTTGGACTTTGCAGATAGCATCAGTGTATGCTCAAACCTCGAGTCACGTTTGAGAAATGTTTTGGAAAATGTGAGCGAGGAAATACGTTGAAAACAATGTTATAAGCTAAAAGTGATTAGGCAACAATAACAGTTTTGATAGTGACGATTAGTCATATCCCCTATAGTGCATCTTGGGGCATTTTAGCCTTAGAGGGTATAAACATGATTTTCGTGAATAGTCATACGCTCCCGTATTGACACAACATGAAGTAGTAAAAGTCTATCTAAGATGAAAGCATGTAAAAGAGGTTTGGAAGAGGCATATAGCCATGGATAACACGTTTTGGACAAACATGATCAGGATATTCGACATACGGTCATAGACAACACGCCTTAAACAAGCATGACCGGGATATATGGTAATAAGTATTTAAATTTAATGGTCAAAACATCCCCCTCCCATCAACACAACTGTTAACATAATTGCTGATTGTTCCGGCCATTCATGGACACAGGTGATGCTTGTTTAATCAAAGCACTTTCCTTTTTAATTCTGTTTGCTGTGAAAGTCCTTGTGGGAGTGTTTGAATTTGAAACCAGCTCAATGGGGTTGGCTTAAAAACTTGAAGAACACAATGCAGGGGCACATTTAGACAGCTCTGAATAGAATAACGTGTTTCTCTCACACGGTTGCTTGTGGCCGTCGCGGGTGTGCACACCACATGTTTGACAAAATGCCTGAACCAAAATTTTCTTTTCTAAGTTACAAAACATACCCCTAAACTTTACATTTTTGTTTCAAAAGTGTATTTCAAGTAGAAATAATGTTAGAACATTGGCTGAAAAATCAACATGTTTGAATGTAATTCTTTCAGACAGACTTAATCTTAATCATAGTCATGTCGTTCCAAGTCGATCGCCAGGTCGATCTTTAGTTTATTTCCTGCATTTACTTACAACTTGGTCGGCAAATAAACAGTAGTTTTCTTGGGCAGGTGATGAGGCACTGTGAAATGTAACCATTTGGGGGTAGCCATAAAGAGAGCCTAAGATCATGGGGCTTTGGAAAATGATTGGTTTGGGCGGCTCTGAGACAGATTCTTGCTCTTTGAATTTGGACAAGAGACTGATGTTGAGAACAAGATGCATTGTCTCAGTACAATGAGGCAGGAAGCTGGCCGACGACGAACTTTCTCTGCTGTGAATTTAGCAAAGTCAATTCTATGAACATCACCCAAGCTGTGAGTTCCCTTATTGCTTCCTTCTCATTCATTAACATCATCTAAATCGACGCTGGTAGGTAACAATCTAAACTCACCGCTAGTAGGTATTGTTTGCTTTGGCCCGTCGTGTATCACCGTCAGTTTCACAGTTTTAAAACGCGTCTACTAAGAACTAGGGAGAGGTTTCCACACCCGAATACTTTGTTTTCCTCTTAGACCGATGTGGGATCTCACAATCCATCCTCTTTGGTACCTAATGTCCTCACTAGTGCACCACCTGATGTAGTTCTGATACCATTTATAACGCCCTAAACTTACTACTAGTAGATATTGTCTACTTTGGCCTATTACGTATGACCGTCAGTCTTATGGTTTTAAAACATATCTACTAGAGAGAGATTTCGTTCCCTTTTCCAACCAATGTGAAATCTCATACCATGTCATAACGGTTGCTTTTTTCTATTTTAGTAACTTTTGTATGCGCCGTATGATTATTCCATTAGAAAATTGAATACGTTCAAGCTAATTCGAACACTCACAAATATTAAAATTGAAAAGTTAATTTAGTTTTAAAATTTTAATCAACTTTGAAATCATTCCTCTTAAGGATTTTGGCATTTGCTTTGGAATATATTGCTAAACAACTATCATTTGACTTTTTAAAACATTTTTTAATGCAAGGTGTCATGAACACAAAATATATATTTAATTTATTTATATTGAATTTAAATAATTATAGATAAATATCGAACATTTAAAATAATAATTAATATTTTTATCCACTAAATTATGGTTGGATTGAATTTTTTAATGTATTAATTAATTGAAGTTATACTATGTATTTATAGAGTAATTTTTAAAATTATTTTAAATATTAATTCTAAATTTTATAGACAAATAATGTCATTATTTATCTCTAATTATTGTGTCCTATAACTCGTTTATTAATATTTGAATTAGACTAAATTCACTAAAAAAAACAAAAATATATTTTGAACGGAAAATCCGAAACAGTCTAAAAAGAAAATATTGAAAATAAAAAATAGAAAATGGAAAGCTTGACTTGACCTAATAATAATAATAATAATAATAATAATTTTGAAAAAAAAAATTAATTTCCTCATATTTTAATGCTAATTACAGGCTGTTAGGAATCAAGGCACGAGGGTTTATTGATATTAAATGGTTTTTTATCTGGAAATATATTTAAATAAAATTTTTAATTATTAATCTTAATTTGTTAATTAATTATTTAGGTAATTAAAAAACATCCTAATACACAATGTCAATAGAATTATTTTATTTAAACCATTGATTAATATTTCTAAACATTGCGCCAAAAATTAATTCAAATTAAATTATATTACATGAAATTATATAAATGTTACCAAAAATACTTAGGTTTAAAACTTTCATAATCCTAAAAAATGAGAATTATTGCGTCTAAATAATTTATCGCCTACGTAAGGATGTTCACGGGTCAAGTTGAGAAATTTGTTTGGATTTGCTCAATTATTCGGGCTGTAAATTTTTTCAACTCAAAAAACTTTTTAAATAATGAACCGAACTCAACCCGCTCATAAAATATTTGGGTGGGTTGGGTTGGAATGGTTTGAATTGTTCCAGAGTATTTGTTCAATTTTTTGTTTTTGAATAAAAATAAAATGGTAATGTGTAAAATTATTTATACTCAAACATTAAATTGGTGTTGAAATTAATTTTAGTGACGTATGAACTGATCTAATTCATACGGATTTTTATTTATAACATAATAATCTAATCGTAAACTATATAGGTTGAATTGGATTGGATTGATCGAGCGATTACCTAAAATGGTGGCTAAATTTATAAACCCTAATTTTGTGATACATGGAATTTAATTATAAAATAGAGAAAAGTAGAATATGAATGAACAATTGATTTGAGTTAAAAATAAAATGGTATGGAGAGCAAAGCTAAGGGATAAAAGGCTGCTCCAATTCCACTAAATGATCACACTAATCAAGAAAACGCCATTGCAAGACCAGAAACCCTAGGGTTCTGTGCTTCCAAATCCCAAGAACTCTTAAGAATTTTTTAAAGATTTATTATTTTATTTTATTTTTTGGTTTTAATTACGTCATCTAAACCCGAACGTAATATGTAGGGATTCATATGTTGTTCGGGTCGATTAAAAGACGCGACGGTTAGGAGGAATCGCTAGACCAACAATGGTGCTCTAATTGTGTTAGTGTGGTAAGACAACTTCACGTGTATGTTTTTCAACTTTATTTATAATGTCTTTTAAGAGATTTATGATATGTTATTTTCGATGGTTAACCATATGTTATTAGTCACTGACGTGGAGGTTATTCTACCATTAGAGATGATAGATAATAATACGTCAACTTATAAGAGAATGTCTTGATATGTTTCATCTGAACTGAATTGGATTAGACAAAGGTACCATGGATGTCTACGATGCAAGGACACCTAAGCACGAGTAACCAATAATGCTCTAGAGTGTAGGGACGTCAAGTCCCATGATACTACTTATTGACGTTAGCCATTGTAGAAAGTACTTGTCTTCAAAGGTCTATCGGCTTTCTTGAACTAGAATGGTAGGACCGAGAACTATACGAGAAGGAGAAACTAAAAAAATCCTAGCATGAAGGGAACTATCTATGTCTACTGCCGAATAATCGAGCTACCTCCAAGCACGTGTTGAATTAGATAGAACAATGACGATGTGAGATCTCAAATCAGTTGAGGAGGGGAACATAATGTTCTTTACAAGGATGTGAAAATCTCTTATTAGTAGACACATTTTACAATCGTGACACTGACGATGATACGTATTAGGTCAAAACATACAATATCTGCTATCGATAAACTTGGGTTGTTACAAATGGTATCAGAGCCAGACATCGAGCGGTGTGCTGGCAAGGACGCTAGCCTCCAAGGGGGGTGGATTATCAAACTGAGAGTCGCAAACTATTATAAACACGAATGATACTCTACTACTACCCGAACGAAGACCTAGATAGACTAAAATTTTATTATAAGCTCAAAAAACCTTATTATATACAAAACCCACATCAACACTAATACTTTAAATGAAGAAACTTCAAGATTCCCATATATGAAAATTGTTATTTTTGATAAAAGGTACAAAAAATATGTGATGGGATTGAAACATCACCCAATCAAATTGAATGCTTTTGACTTTTGTTCTATGTATGGACAACAATGTTACAACCCCCACTCTTCTTATTCCCACACCCTTTTTTTTACTCTACTCAAATTCCCCACCTAATCCCAATTGCTTTTTCATTCGGTTCGATTTTCGATTTTAGGGTCTTTACTAGTTTGAGTTTCTGTTAGTTCGATTTTCGATTTTAGGGTTTCTACTAGTTTGAGTTTCTGTTAGTTCGATTTTCGATTTTAGGGTTTCTACTAGTTTGAGTTTCTGTTAGTTCGATTTTCGATTTTAGGGTTTCTACTAGTTTGAGTTTCTGTTAGTTCGATTTTCGATTTCAGGGTTTTTACTAGTTTGAGTTTCTGTTAGTTCGATTTTCGATTTTAGAGTTTCTACTAGTTCGATTTTTTATTTTAGAGTCTTTACTAGTTTGATTTTCTATTAGTTCGATTTTTCGATTTTAGAGTTTCTACTAGTTCGATTTTTGATTTTAGGGTCTTTACTAGTTTGATTTTCTATTAGTTTGATTTTCGATTTTAGGGCTTCTACTTGTTCGA